ATTTAGATCGGTGGGATAAACAAAGTCACTATCGCTACTATTCTTCCACAATTGAAGAGCATTAAAAAAGAACATTCGCTTCATGTTGTTGGTTCGTGGAATCAGGGGAAGCGATAGGGCATTCGAGATCTTGTATCATGAGACTTGCAGTATTTCAATGACAATAGCTTCTCGGTTAAGTAGTCAGGAGCACGTCCATCCACGATTTTTTTAAACAAAATTAAACGTAAAACTGTAAAAACGAACGATAAAATCCGTCGTTTCGAAGTACTCATGACTCCATTATCGAGGAAAATATAAAAAAGATCATGCAAATTGCAACTTATAAAGCGTTTTTGGCGCGAAGAATTAACATAAGAGGGTGCGAAGATCATAAAAATATTATAGAAAACTGCTAAAGCGTTTCGAAGTGCTTAAGAAATGTAGAAACAAATTTGACAGCTTAGTGCACGAAATGCTTTTTGTAAGAGTGTTAAAGCCAAATCTCAACGTGCAATTAGACTCCATTCGTACGAAAGTATTTCTATAATATTTTTATGACCTTCGCACCTTCTAATGTTAATCCTTTGCGCCAAAAACGCTTTATAAGTTGCAATTTGCTTGATCTTTTTTATATTTTCCTTGATAATGGAGTCATGACTACTCCGAAACGTCGGATTTTATCCTTCGTTTTTACAGTTTTATGTCTTAAGGAATCTCTTTTGATACGAAAATTAAGCGTCTTTCAATACTGGTGTGGTTAATAGGTAGCCATTCAAGTTTATAAAATAACGGCAAAGAAAACAAGTGCTAGGGTGGCTAGGCCTACCACGCATTGAGTTTAAAATTACATAAAATGAAAAGAAGCCACTAACTGCAGACTGTATTTTTCAAATAGAGCTTACTTCTATCTGAAGAGGAATTTGCTTCATATTTACCAAGACGTGGATATGTATTACACGTCACCAACTGTCGCGGGTGTCCTTTCCCCCCCAAAAAAATGTAATGCCCCTTTTTGAAGCATAACCACCGTAAACTATTTAACAATTATTCGCCGAAGGCGAGGTGAATATCGTCGAATAATCCCCGAGACAAAGTCGACGGGATTATTCGACAATACTCACTGAATTTCAGAGCTGAACAACTGAGAAATTTCTAAAATCATAACATTTTAGTAACATTTTTTGAACATTTTAGTTTAACATTTTATATAAACCGCGTGGAGCGGTTTATGTAGCGTCATATAAGGAACCGCTCGACCAATCAGATTGCTGGAAAGTCTTTCCTCAGCTCTGAAATTATACTAAATATAGATATATGATATCAAATCTGATCGCACCAATAAAACCATAACACAATTTCAATCCTAATTTTTTGATATTCTGACGCGTTGCTTTCCAATTTATATCTGAAATTTCAAAGTTTTAACGATGCGCATTACGTCGGAAGCCATTCCGGAATTGGTATTATGGGAGTCTTCGGACCAAATTTCAAGGCAATCCGTAAAGGTAACATACCCCTACAGGCACAGCCCATGATGGTGTTTTTAGAAAGACTTACGAAAAAATAGTAACGTAGTTCCCTAACAGAGATTGACAATGGATTGATTTACTCTTGTAAAGTTATTGCAGCTTCAAGTTACTGATTTTGTTTGTTTAGTGTCATTTTGAATTTTCTATTTTTCAAGTAGGAGTGAATTTTGTTGGGCTCTGCAAACATGACTTCCACCTAGTATTTTGTTAGAAATTTGTTTAGTGGTTTACACCATTCAAGATATATCTTAAATGAATAATTTATTTCGCAAGTACCGCTATGTGGGTTTTTTTTAATCTACACTGTGCCAAACATCTGTCGTCACTAAAATTTTCGAGGTCAAACTCAGAGAACGAGTAATACGGAAGTTCTAAGTTTTGTGATTCGTAGCTAGTGTAAAGCAACAAAAATTCGTCATCACAAATGTAATTCATCTCATAACAAAGACGGATTAACTCTCTTGCTTCCTTGAAGGATGAAATTTTTGTCATTTAAATGACTCCACAACAACGCTTTGCGCTCTTAGCTTCCGCCGTAGTGTCGCTGTAGCTTAACGATTTGTATTTGGCGGGAAATACGCCGTACTCACCCTAGTCCATCGAGGCCAAGGTAGCCGTAGTACAGATTTACCGTACCGTATCTTAAAGTCCCTTGAAATGTGTCGTGGCCGGAAATAAACACGCTGAAGATTTTTTTTCTCATAATTGTGTCGCAACACTGAAGAATGAAGAATTGCGGTTACAATGCTAATGTATTTTTCGGAATCATTGTGAACATCGAGGAGTCCAATCAGATAAACGAGCCCATAGTGGTTAACTGGTATTTACAAAAGTTTTCCTCTGAATTCCAGGAACTCAAAAATACCTCGTCTATTAATGGGTTGTAAACTACATTTCTTAATTCTCCCGAGCTTTGTCCCTCTCTCAGTTAGATTATAAATACCCCCATCTATAGGCCAAGTTGCACAAGTTTAAAGAAATCGACAAGAAAAGAGGCTTCTTTTTTCTTCTGTGATTCCTTTTTTTGATCTGCGACTTATCTCTTTCTTTCGCAACCATTTTTTTTATCTACAGTCCTTTTTTAACCATGCGCAATACTTCTCTCCATCAGCGACTTCTTTAGTATCTGCGCCTTATTCTCTGTTCTCTGTATCTTCTTAAATTTTAGTGTATTTTGTAGTGCACTGCTAGGTGGCCATTAAAAAAAAAAAGACTACTCAGTGGCTAGGTTCAGTTTTTTAAGCCATCTTGATCTCTATTTTATTTCCATGAGAATGTCATTGTGTTTTCTTTTCTCAGACATAAGTATAATTTCAGAGTTGAGCAAAGAATTTCCAGCAATCTGGTTGGTCGAGCGGTTCCTTATATGACGCTATATAAACCGCTTCACGCGGTTTATATAAAATGTTAAAATAAAATGTTAATAAATGATACTACAATGTTATGATTTTAGAAATTTAAATGTTGTTCAGCTCTGAAATTATACTACTTATTCGCCTCAGGTTAGGTGAATATTGTCGAATAATCCCCTCGACTTCGCCTCGGGGATTATTCGACAATATTCACCTCGCCTTCGCCGAATAACTGTTAATTAGTACGAGAGGCATCTTTAAAAAAGGGCAAAGTGATAGCGATACATACATACATACTTACATACATACATACATACATACATACATACATACACACATACATACATACATACATACATACATACATACATACATACATATTTTATCTAACAATGCAGGTTAAAAATATGGCAGCAAAAGTTGATGTGGACCTGCTATGCATAAATAAATATTGACAAAATATATTAACTAGACAATTTAAATTCACATTAATTTAAGGAAAGAAACTTACAAATTTAACAAATAAAAGTATGAAATAGCATCCAAAAATATATAAAATCATCAGAGTTCTCTTTCATCAATAGATTTAGAGTGCTTTACAAGATTAGCTTTAAACGATGCAAAGGAAGGAAGAGACTTGATCTTTACAGGTAGACTGTTCCAAATTATACTGGCTCGATGAATCATTGTTTCCTTTCCAGTAGGCATAGGCTAAATCGAATTTGAAGGAGCTGATGTTCGTTTTAAGACATGCTTTCCGAACTGCCTAAGCGTATACTGTTCCTTTGCCTCGGTTTAACTCCAGTTCGCATTGTCTACCCGTCATCCTCACCATCGCCATTACCGACCGCTTTGTTAGGTGAGCCCGCAATCTAAAGACACCCACATACTTAAACTTTTCTCTCATTCTATTATCTTGATCTAACTCGATTCAAACTTTACCTTGTAAACGGAATGCGTTTTTTTTTTCTGTATTGAGCTACACTCTCCCCATATTTACTGTAAGTTTCGGTTATGACTACTAGAAGCAGTCTACAAATACAACTTACCCTTTCCTGGAGGGATCGCACCTCGTAGCGGTGGTACTTGACATGAACCTAAATGGATAGAAGCAAAGGGAGATTTAATTCTCCCAGTGTACCATTTTTTGGGTTCATAGTTCTAAGAATATAAATCAGTGCCTCAAAAATTAAATTATAAACTGTTCATTTTTTTTTAAGTTCAATCAGGATCTCAATCTAGTTGCAATTCGAACAAAATTCTGCGGTTTTCCCTCAGCGTATGATTTTCGATTTTATTCGATTCAAAGATGACCTAGCAGAGTGCGTTTGGTGGCTTTCTCAAGCTCGAACTGTACCCGTTAGATGGTCCTAAGTCTCGCATAATACGGCATAAGCCTTTTAAGGTTTTACAACACTTCTCCAGTCAGCCTCAAGACCGAAATTTTATTTGTTATTGAACTATGTCATGGCCCAAAATAAATAAAGCAAAGATTTTTTTTCTCTGGGTGCCGCGACACTGAAGAAAGAAGAATTGCGGTTACATTGATAATGCATTTTAATTACTTTCTTAGAAAAATGTCTTTATTACCACTAAAAGATAGTGTTCAAGATGGATGCGAAAAAAACATAGCCTCTGCGTAGTCATTATAATGAACATCGAGGAGGTCCAATCAAATAGACAAGCCCAAAGTGGTTAACTGGCATTTAAAAACGCTTTCCTATGAATACCAGAAACTCAAAAATAATCAGTCTATTAATGGTTGTAAACTCTCTTTCTCACTTCCCCGGAGTTTCATTCCTCTCTCAGTTAGATTATGAATAGCTCCCTTCCTTTCCCGGCCAAGTTGCGCAAGTTAAAAGAAATCGACAGGAAAATGGCTCCTATTTTCTTCTAAAAATTCTTTTCTTTCGTGACTTCTTTTTTCTACAGTCTTTTTTTAATCCACGTGTAATTCTGCTCTCCATCAGCGAATTCTTTAGAATATACGCATTATCCTCGATCCGCGAATTTTTATTGCATTTTGCGGTGCACTGCCTAGGTGGTGATTAAAAAAAGACTACGCAGAGGCTATGTTTTTTCGCATCCATCTTTAACACTATCTTTTAGTGGTAATAAAGACATTTTACTAAGAAGGTAAAAAAGTGCTCAAGTCTAAGGGCTACGGACTAAGTGAAATAGAAAATCTTACTCCTTTGGTGGAGGTTGTCCATGCTATAAGAAAAGAAATTCCCGGAAGTGACAACTCTGTTGGCGATCGACAAATGCACAAAAGACTCACAGATCATTGCCATGCAGTGAAATAGGAAACTCTACAAATCATGCTTAAGCTATATGTTCTTGAAGGAGTTGATCTATGCTTCAGAAATGCTCTCCGACCAGTCTTTTTCTCTTTGTTCCCCCCCCCCCCTTANTTTAACTCCAGTTCGCACTTTCTTCCTGTCTTCCCGTCTTCCTCACCATCACTATTGCCGACCACTTTGTTGGGTGAGCCCGCAATCTAAAGACTGCACCCCGTGAGTCCACAACATTTTGATCACTGTCATGACGAATATCGTTGTCGATAATAGTACAGACCACGCTAAACCACTGTCGCTTTATCAAATTTCCTGACATTTTCTAACCCGATCTTCTGTCTCGATAAGTAGTAAATATTTTTAAAACGTTACAGCTATAGCTAGCTGACTAGGATATAAAGAAAAAAATAAACTGTAGGCAGAATAATAAATAAACCAGACTATTTTCGCTTCACTGAGCGAGTAAGCTGTTCGACTAAAAAAAAATTTCCAAAGTGTAAACTTACGTAAGGCCACCATTCCTTTAAAATGTAATAAACGAATCAAGAACCTTAAAATTTTACTTTCAGACCACGACTGAGAGAAGTCGTGTTTAACTAACTTACAAATCGAAGGAGATGGTTCTCTACAGTATTTTGTGCTGAGGCCTTGCACTGTTGTCGCGCCTAATCTCCCAGCTGGATTCCCTTCAAAACCATTGCTGTCCTCCGGGAAAACCATACCTAATTCTAATTCAAATTTCAAGGCAATCCGTAAAGGTAACATACCCCTTTTAATTCGTTTAAAGAAGGCGCGTTCGCGCAAAAACGAAATAGGTTTTTTTCTTCCAAAGTTTTGTGAACAATTTACGCCTCTAGGTGACAGAAGTCAAGTTGTGTGAACAGTTTCAGAAAATGCAGAATATGATGTTCATTTATAATCTAGACAATTAAAAACAAATCCCCTGACAATTCCTTTCCTTTTCGCCATTAGGATCGAAGAAGGCCCGGGTTTCGGGAATTTTACTTGAAAAGGAGGCATATCGCCCTTTTTCTTGCAAGGAGCTCTTTATAACAAATTAGAGCTATTCTTTAGGTACTAAATCGTCTTAAAAGTTGACCATAAAAAAGGTTCCTAGTTGGTACTCAACCTTTTTAATACATTTAATTATGCCCTTGGAAAAGTGATAAGTGCCATTTTCGAGTCCTTAAAGAAAAACGTGCGAGTTTGTACCGTTAAATACTACTACAGTTTACACCTACCTGCTGTTTCCATTCTCCTATGCTCCCCAAGTGGCTTCTTGAAAAGCTTTTCTTTCAAAATACAGAAAAACGATTTCTTCTCTTGGACTGAGGACAGTAAAAAATTTATTTCAAACCTTCTACACACTTTCTCAATCTGTTTCTCATACACACCACAAACTAGTTTCGACATTCATAGAATTTTGACTTCACTTTTAAAAAAAAATTTGAATAACCTACCTTTCCTCTTGCCAGGGACGTCAGAGAGCCAACCTCTACAAAATTAACACGGTCATGTTAAAACGCAGACTGCAGACTGCAGACTGCAGACATGCGTATGGAGAAGAGAAAATAACCCTTGTAAACATCACTTTGCTTTTACGATCATTTTAACAAATCCTCGGATAGAAACCAAGCTAAACATGTACATACGATTGCCTCTTCATTCAAGGCGGGCGTTTTACGCTGCAGTTAATAGACTTTGCTTCTAAAAATTTTCACGACCACGATCATGAACTCACTATGGAGGCATAATGTTCAGGAATTCAAGTAACCACTTCGCGAGTGAGTTGCACCCAGTCTAATGATCTCATATCACTAAACGCGTGAAAAGGGTGCCTACATACGGGGCGTAAGTAAATAGTATCTTTGTGAAAGGGACGGTTTTCGATATGCGTGCATACCATGACAGCTATCCTTTTAAACACTTATACGTACTCGAGCTGTGATGAATGAACCGTTTCGTGAGGCACAATGGTATCATCAGTGGCCGGATGTCTCGTGACGTTAAGGGTACAGCCGTGCGTAATTCCGTAATCTAATATAAAGAACAAGTATTCGACAGACATTTCTATCGTTGGCTCCACCACTTCGCAAGGTAAAATTGACAAAATAGAAGCACACTTCCATCCCTTGCAACGACATCTTAAACAAATTGTTTTAAATATTGGAAAAGCCTTTTCAAAGTAAATCTATACCTTGTAACGGACTTTTGTCTTGATCTGGATGAAAAATTCTTGTGTCCATTGCGAACGTAAACCTCCATTTTTCCCTCTTATTCTTTAGTCTAATCTTTTTCACCAAATCCTGGAAAGTATCTTGGGGACTACATCTCACGCGGACTGATGGAGTACCATCTGAGAAACAAGCTTCAACTTCGATGAAGAGAATCTTTATTACCAACTCAAGCTTGGATCCAGAACAAATACCAAGCCTGTTTAAGGTCCTTTCATCTGTAAAAGGGCAGAGTTGTTCTTCATTGAAATCAAACATAACCTGTGTATTTTCTTGCAGGTTACGACAGGGAGGAATTTCTTCCAAGACAGCCCTCAAGTTCTTCTCTTTATCTATCTTTATGGCGTGAGAGTCACCATTCTGTTCTTCCACTGTTATGTGAAAATACTCCGGTAGAGTGACGGCTACAGCTGGTCGTGAACTGCAGATGAGTTCATCGGGGAGGCATCTCCTTGGTGCTCCAGACAGGAGAGTCCTTCCAAAATAAAGCTTTTGGTCGCTGACCGGAACATTAAGCTCTCTTTCTATCTGTTCCATGAGATCATGTACCTTTGCCTTGCCCGGATGCACCTTTATTGGAAAGGTTTTTGGAGAAGGTACACTGGAAGACGCCTCGACTGTCACTGTAATCGTCATTTCTGCATCGATAAGTCTCAAATTTCCTGGTGTCCCAAGAACACGCCTGTCACCAAGAAAAGAAACAAATTGGACGAAACGTTTAGACATGACTGAATCGACCATCCAGTCTAAAGCTTAAGGGTTTACATGCGTCACTCACTTTAGACGAGCAGCATTTGAGAGCAGCTTGTCATCTTGAGCAAGAACTTGATCCGGGTCATTCTGTATTTCCAACTGGCTCTGCATTTCATGTTTCAAATCACCAACTGTCGCACATGGGGCCATGCTCACATTCAATGACTGAGAAGAACCAGAAATGGTTACTGGAATGTTAAGGAAAGCTTCGGGTGTGAACACGCACTTAACTAGACCATTTTCGGCCCGACCTGACTCAATGCCTGCTTCCTTTGGTGCAGTTTTCACTCGGTAGAAGGTGAACGTCTTGGCCTCATAAGCCGATCTCTCTATTGAAATTTCTTCTCCTCCATGGAGAGCCCATCCACCAACATCAAAACCGTCGATAGATATGTCCAAATGACAACCTGTTTAAGATGACAACCAAGGACAAATAATGTTATAAACTTCCTAAACTCTGGCCAAACGATGGAAAGAACTGAAGGCAAATTAACATATCTGGTGGCAAACACATGGTACTCTTTGCCGGCAGTATCGCTTTCGTATCTCAACGGATTATCTTCGTATCTACAGAGTTGTTAGCGAGTGACACAGTTTAAAATAAAATGGCATCTTCAAGGGGCCTGCCAAACTGATCCGAAATATCATTGGTGTAGCTACCGGAGATGAACATCGATGCAAGTCCGGGTCAAGCAATTATTTGCCGTTCAGAAAATATATATCAAGAGGAAATTGAAAGATACGAAATCGATTGAAAAGTGGAACTGATAACTTGCAATAGCACCGGTACTGTGATTTTATGAAAGCACAGTCCTGAGTTAATAGACTGGAAACTGATTAGAATAACACACTAAGAAATGGAAGCAGAACACGGGCTATTTTACACGAACATTTTAAAATCGTATGTCTGTTAATTTGCCCCTCACCATATGTATGTGAATTTTTGACAAGTATTTTATACTGTGTTCCACTCTTCATTTCCACAAACTCTCCATCACGAGTCTTAAAGTGTTTTCCACCAAGTATTTCCACAGAGTAACCCTCGTAAAACAGAAAGTTGACATATCGCGCTGGTTCCGGTTCCATAGCTGGATCATGTTGGACGCGGGAAGACGAAGGGTTTTGAGCGGGACCCGTTTGCTGTCCTGTCTGTACCTCTAAGGGTGTCGGATATGGTCCCATTGATCTCAAAGAGGAGCCTGGGTTTAGCAAAGAACAAAAGGAGAGTTAGGCCTGACAAAACGTACAAATTAGACAGCAGGACTGGAGAGAAGGCGAAGAGAATTCAAAAATTACCCGTTTTGTAGGCCAATCTGATAGTAGGCTGCGTTTTAAGTGAACTGAGAATTAACAAGCTGACCAGAAAGGGAAAATTGTTCTAGATAGAAAAATAGAGCCTTTAACTGAACTTTTCAACCTTTCCAACTCTTCTAAAATCTTCAGTGACAGACATCACAATCCTTTCGTCACGCTCTTTGTACTCCTGCCATTCTTTCAATTCTGCACTTACAAGCTTGCGTGACATGTTCATGCAATGAATCGCATGTAAGGTTGAACAAAAAATAGATCTCTCAGTGACTCCTCTAAGCTAAGAACGAGGTTTTTCCCCCGCGGATACGTAATCCGATGGTCACAAATTGAAGGGGTAAAAACGAGGATCTGTAACTTACAGCACAGAACGAAATAATGAGCTTTATAGTAATATAATTATTACACTTCTAATGCGTGTTTGACGGGTTCAGAAAACGATTTCTATTTAAGGCGCACGGCGTCAAACGACTGATATAAATTGTAAGAAAAAAGAAACAAATGGAATTCATTGTTCAGTCTTGAATGAAACATGTTTAATGGCCAAGTAAGGAAAGTAGTAATAAATAGTTATGATAAAATCTGACTCCAAATGCAGATTTTGGTTTTGGTGGGCCTATTACAGTAGAATATGGCCCACTACACTGAGCAGTTATATTGTTGGCAATAAATGAGAGATTGACCAAGTTTAAACCTACTGTCCACGAAATATCAATCAATGAATTTCTGATAATTAAGTCCTTTTTCATCATCTCACCATTATTACTGAAACCGGAAGTACAGTCTTTGGTTGTATGAGCCCCATGACCACCACGACGCCCAGCAGTGAAGACTGTGGAAGGATCTGCACTGTCCAGCAATGGCTGATCAATTGGATGCACAGTTTGAAATGGTTCAGCTTCAACTACAGATTGCACATTCAAGAAAAGGAAATGTGTATTTTTTAGCTTAACCCTTTGACCCCTAAGAGAGACTAACATCTAATTTCTCCTTACAGTATCACCCCTGAATCACACATCAAGGTAACAAGAGAATAAAGAAAATGATCCCCAACTGAGACGGCTCTTGATTGTCAGTAAACAAATTCTCTTCAGGAGAACCTTGGGAAATAAATAAAGAAGTGTATGGAGAATATGCATACTGATGTTTAGGGTGTAAACGGTAAACAACCTTGAGTTAAAAAAAAAGAAACTATTACCAAAATATCAATTTTTATAAATCTTTACAACATTTTAACTACCAGACTTGATCAACATATAACTTTTCTCTATAATATCAAACTTTATTCAGCAAAAGGGTAATGCAAATACTCAAACTTAGGTTGGTAAGTTAGAAGGTTGTATCTTGATCTAACACCAAATTCTTGTAAGTAATTTCAGTTACAAGGAAATGTGTCACATATAGAGGGGAGAATTAACAATCAAATCTCAGGAGGAAAAGGGTTTAGGGCCAGTTTGGGAGGCTAATTTCAATTACATTATATAAATATTGGTCACTTTTTTATTATCTTTTGATCAACGATGTGAATTTGTGATGATATCCACATTACTGGTATGTTCAATCAATTAAAGGAACCAATATCAAATGAGCGTTGATAAAAAGAGAAAAAAAATGGAAAATGGAAAAAGGTGAATACAATTATATTAGCTCAAACATCTTTCTACTTTTGAGTTTCGAAAATATAGATAAGCTTAACTAATTATACCTTCAGCGGTGTCTATAGTGTTCACAGGATCACTTATTGCTGTTCCTGTATCATCTCCATCCCCCGCCCCATCAGTCACCATGTGCTCAGGCCCATCTGATTATTAAAATATAACCATTATAAACAACTTAACATTTTGGTAATCTCATTTCGGTGTCTACCCTAATCTGTGGAAATTTAAGAATAAAATTAATGAATGATGCATTCCAAACAATCGTTAAATGATGCAATTTTATCACAAAAAGAGCTAATATTTTCATTCTCAAATCAACACCTTTATTTTGGAGGTTTTTGGAGCTATAACAATGAATAAATACCAACAGCATATGGACCAGTTTGTTTAAACATCTGGAGTTAATTCTTATGTTACCTTTTGCAATCTCTATAGTGTTAAAAGGATCACTTTTTGCTGTCCCTGTGTCATCACCATTCCCAGCCCCATCACATTCAGTCACCATGATACCAGGCCCATCTGATAATTATATATAATCATTATAAACAAACACTAAATTCTTGTGTTAATGATAATTCATGGAAAATTATTTAACTTTCCCAACATTTCAGTAATCTCATCCTGGGTGTCTACCTTAAGCTACATGCAAATTTAAGAATACTTAAGGTCATTGAATGAATAATGCATTCTAAACAATCCCTACAAATGCAATTTTATCACAATAAGAGCTTATTTTTCTATTCACAAATCAACATCTTTTAATTTTACTCCTGTGGATTTTGGAACTGACTATGAATCAATCATGACAGCATATGCAGTTCATTCAAGCATCTGTAGCTTTCCAAACCATAGAATTAATCTCTTAGTTACCTATTCAGTTCATGAAATCACCAGGATTTTGGATAGTTATTTTACACAAGGTAGAGGTTTAATTGTTTAAAATTAATCTCCCTTGTTAAACTTTCTGCAACATTTCTAGCCAAGAATTTAGGTGTGATTTTCCAAATTTTGCAACCTTCAGTTGCATATATACATTTGCAACTTCCATCTTGTAGAGTAAGAGAGACATAAACCAAATTGGGAGAGGGAGGGGTGGGCTGGGATTGTGAAGCAAACTCACAGTTCTCCAAAGTTTAGATTTCCAGACAGTACTGTCTCTTTGAAGTGGGAGTAGGAGAACACCTACTCCTGTCACTTCATGTTATGGAAAGCTGACAGTTAAGCACCAGGCATAATGGGCCATTTTGCTTAATGTAAACAGACTTTGCTCTCTCTAATACAGAAATTATTTCATACCCCAAATATCAGTGATAAATATTAATCTATGCAATTTATATTTCATATTCCAGATGTAAATAAAATAAAAAGATAGTAAGTTTTTTTCCCTCCCTATTTTCCAGATTTTCAGCACCTGAAGAGGCATACAATCCCCAACACAATCAATAATCATCACCCACCCAACATTTTAATGAAATGTATAAGTTATCGAAGATTTATATTCTTTTTGCAAAACAGTTACAATCTTAAAAGGAAAAAAACTGTGTCTTATTACTCTTAAATTGCCAGTCATCATGATACCTTTAATCAAATGAAAGTTTGAAAGAAAAAACATTGTGATTAATGCCTTCCTTACAACTGTTCCTCCAACTCATCTTCAAATCAAACTTTTTGTTACTTTAGCAGTTTACTGGTATGCTGTACCCCTGGGGGGTACTCGATATATTCCTGGGTGGGGAGGTGCGGCACGGCCCCTCATACCCTGACCCTGTTTAAGACAAATATCGCTGATTTTTCTACCCTGTTTAAGACAGAATTCCGATTTTTGATACCCTGTTTAAGACATTTAATGTGCCTGGTATCAATGCCAAAATCAACGGAACTATTAATTAAAATTACAGCTTGTAAAAATTTTGCTCTTCATCTTCCAAGAAAAGATATCCTGATTAAGACAAAAAATGATAAATTCGATACCCTGTTTAAGACAAAAATCTCGAAAAACATACCCTGGCTGGCCGCACGTCTCCATTAAGCCCGTATAAGGGAGTACCCCCTCCCCTCCTACCCCGCCCGGGGCGCATACTTAAGTAACCAGCCGCTATGATGTTTCGGCAGGCATGCGTA